AATCCTTAGCACCCACATCAGGTGGCTTACAACCTATTAACTCCAGCTCCAGGGAATCTGACACCCTCTCCTGCAGACACCTCCATGCACAAAAACAAATACATAAGCAGACATAGACAAATGCATAATTTTTCCTTCTTTCTTTCCTTCCTTCTTCCTTTCTTTTTTCTTTCTTTCTTTCTTTTTTTTGGGGGGGGGCGGAGTTTCAAGACAGAGTTTTTCGGTAGTTTTGGTGCCTGTCCTGGAACTCATTCTGTAGGCCAGGCTGGCCTCAAACTCAGAGATACACCTGGCTCTGCCTCCCAAGTGCTGGGATTAAAGGCATGCACCGCCACCGCCCGGCACAAATGCATAATTTTAAAATTAAAATAAGTCTTAAAAATAAAAAATATGGGAGCTGAAGATACAGCTCAGTGGTTAGGAGCATTGGCTGTTCTTCCAGAGGACCCAGGTTCAATTCCCAGTGCTTACATCCATCTATGACTCCAGTTCCAGAGGATCTAAGGCCCTCTTCTGGGCTCTGCAAGCACTGTATACACGCACCTAGTGCACAGACATACATGCAGGAAAAACACCTGTATACATAAAGTTAAAATAAGTGAATCTTTTTTTTTTCTTTAAAGAAAATCCATAGCAGAAAAAGAAACTTGCTGAGCATGTTGGCATACACTTATAAACCGAGCACCCGGGAAGTGGAGAAGAGATAGTCAGGCCACCCTGGCTACACATAGAATTTGAGAACAGTTTGAGCTACACAATACCGTGTTACAAAATCTCAAAAACAAAAGTGAAAAACAAAAACCCAGAAACTTAACTTATCTTTCACAATAATAGGACCAACAATAAAAATTTATCGCAACAAAACACCAACAGCAAGAAATAAAAGATCAGAAAAGACAGTCATCCTGAAAACAGCAGGGAAAGGGAAGGGGGAGGGCTTCCAGTGCGAGAGGAATGGCTAGGTCCTAAACGACAGGACTTCTGAGAGGTTTGTGAACAAGAAGGAGCAAGCATACAAAAAATGCAGGATGCTGAACAGCCCGGATAAAGGATAAGTCAGCCCTGAGAAGAAAAGAGAGGAAAGAGAAACATCAAATGTTCATCTGGGCCCGGCATAGGCCCTTCACTTCATAAATAGTTAATCAGCCCTCAGATCTGAGACGCTAGGAGCCGGCTGACAGGGCCAGGTATTATTTCTCCACAGGGGCAGGATGAGCTATCTTCAGGCATCGTGAGTATTAGGTTTCAAACCCGGGACAAACGGCCGAGGTGCCTATTTAACATATCAAAGAGGACCTGGCCGCCAGGTTCTCCCGCATCCCTCAGCCCCTACATACCCCACTCCCTTAACTAACCTCTACAGCCCAGGGGCCTGGGCTGCTCCTCCCTGGTAATGCGACGGTATAGTTACCAGCTCGTTTGTACCTTTGGCCGCATGGCTGCTGCACTAGTTACCCCTCTTCCCTTTCTCTCTCCTTCCTGCCTTCTCCACATGGCCCAGCTCAGTCTGGTCATGTCCACCCTGGACTCTCGCAGATGTCTCTGCCTCTGCCTCCCTTTTATCTATAACAAACCTTCTCCTCCACCGAACCTAGGAGTAGTCGTGTTCTTATTCTTTTCCTTTTTTTTCTTGTTTTCATTCAATGGGCAAGTTCTGTAATGAAATCCAGGATAAGAAAGACATCAACCCCTTGGGCATAGTAGATGGAAGGAGAACAAAGCCACAGATAAAGAGAAGAGTTTTCTTGAGTACCAGAAGAATTGGTTCCTAGAAGAAAATTCATGTTGGGGAAGGGGGGTCAAGTGTGCAAGATGTCCTTCACTGTTCTTTACAAGGGGGGGGGGGCAAAGGCAGGGATTAAGAAGGCCTTTTTAAAAAGTCTCTGCCCCAGATAGATGGCTCAGTGGTTAAGAGTACTGTTGGCTCTTCCAGAGGACCCAGGTTTAATTCCCAGCACCCACATGGCAGCTCACGATTTGTCAGGGGATCCAACGCTGAAACAGACACACATGCAGGCAAAACACCAGTGCACATAAAGTACAAATAAATATGTTATTTTTAAAAAAGTATCTGCCCAAACTCCCTTTCTAAAATTACTGTATGTTTTTAATAGCTTATAAACTAGTGGGTTTCCAAAGGGTTTCTTCTTGAAGACTAAGTGTGGGTAACCAACCCCCTACCCTCTCCTCCCCTCAATCCCTCTATCCCCACTTAGGCCTTTAACTCCTACTGTATTCCCTCTTCTTTCATGTCACCTGTGTTCTGTCCCCGTCACTGAAATGTTTTTCTTTTCTTTTTTCTTTTTGGTTTTTCAAGACAGGGTTTCTCTGTGTAGTTTTGGAGCCTGTCCTGGATCTCACTCTATAGCCCAGGCTGGCCTTGAACTCATAGAGATCCACCTGGCTCTGCCTCCCGAGTGCTGGGATTAAAAGCGTGTGCCACCACCGCCTGGCCTGAAATGTTTTTCTAGGGTTGGAGGATCCTAGGCTGCATTTTAGTTAAGCTTCCGGCCCACCCTTCATTTACACACCTCCCACCCTCTTCACACTTGACTCTCCACCCGCAGGATTCCCAGCTCTATCTTTTACCTGTATCTTACCAGTCTCTCTCCCTTAATTATCCACCCCAGTGGCCTGTTTCCAGTTTTCTGGCTTCCACAGCACTCCAGGTTAAACATACAAAACAAGATTGGAAGCAAAGATCCACACATGAGAGGACGTGGCATTTGTCTTTCTGTGCCTAGGTGACATCACAGTATAATTTTTTCCAATTCTACCACTTACCTGCAAATGTCATTGGTTCATTTTCTTTCTTTACAGCTGAATAATAATTCCATTGTGAATATTAATAGGTTTTCTCTATTGCAATAATAGGTTTCTCTGCCAACGCAGAAAGCCAGATCAAGCCGAACTGAAAAGTAAAAAGACAGGTTTATTTGAGCAAAGCAACCCCCGGGTGAGTTCTTCAGCCCCCAGAAATCAAGGCAGGAGGACTAAAGCAGGAGCTTATATACCCTGTAGGCGAGGGGTGATGATGCGCCTGCCACAAGCTGGGTTTGTGCCCACGTATGGTCAAAAGCTGCACACTTTATGTGGTGGCTTGGGTGGCAGTCAACTTCATGCTAGGAGCTGCTGTAGCCACCAAGAATGTGGAACTGGGCTTTTTGGTGCCTTTTCTTTGTTGTTCTCTGAGAGGGTGGGATTTGGAGAGGAATGGGGCTTTCCTGGGTCAAACTGGAGTGAGCTGGAGGATCCATCGGACCAAATACGTTCCACACTTTCCTTATCTGTTTATCAGTGGGTGGACATCTAGGTTGTTTGTCTTCTCTAGCTGTTGTAGAAATGTACGGGTGCTGGGGTTGGGGACTTAGCTCAGTGGCAGAGCACTTGCTGCAAGGCCATAGGTTTGGTCCTCAGCTCTGAGGGCGGGGGATGTCCGGTGATATTATATTAGATGTCTCCAAGAACAACACAGTCTTTATTGAGGAGTGAAAGGAAAATTATCTGCTGAGGACCCCCAAGACCAAGTTCTCAGCACAAAGGAGATTTATTCACCTCAGAGGGACAGAGGGCAGGAATAAGGGACAAAGACAGGAGACAGAGGAAGAGGGAGAAGGGAAAAGGAACAAGGGAGAGGGAAGGGGTATTTATTCCAGAGGCACAAAGGACCGCCTCCGGATAGTGGGGAGACAGACGTGGCCCATAGGAAAATGGTGGTTTATAAAGATACAACAGGAAACCCCATGTTAGGATGAGGTGTTTAATTTTGATTAAGCGTGTTAATTAGGTGAGCCAAAGGAGGCTTTTGATTGACAGGTGGACCTTGGTAGTCTCAGGAGGAGGGAGTGGCTAAACAAGGGAATAGACCTTGGGGGCTAGCTTTAAAATGCAATTTAACAGTTTTTAGCAAGGTAGAGGGTATGGGGGAGACGGGCAAGGCCTGTTAGAGCCATGTTCGCCACACTGGAGCTGGCCAGAGTCCCTTCAGGGAGGCAGGGTCCTGAAACTTGATCACCACCAAAACCACTCTGACCCAGAGACTCTCAGGTTCTTGTTTCATGAATTTGAAGACTGAAACTCATGTACCACAAAAGGTGAGTTTAGAGAGAAGTGTCTTATAGTTTCCTAGGTGTGAATTTAAGAGGGAGACAGAGACCCATGTCACATGTGGCGGACAATCAGCTGCGTAGCAAAAGTGGATGGGGTGGGAGCGGGATAGGGATGCTTCAGAGAAACAATAAGGAATCCTGCCAGCCAGGTGTGTGTGTGTGGGGGTGCATGCCTTTAATCCCAGCACTCCGAAGGCAGAGGCAGGCGGATCTCTGTGAGTTTGAGGCCAGCCTGGGCTACAGAGTGAGTAGGAAAGGCACCAAAGCTACACAGAGAAACCCTGTCTCGGAACCCCCCCCCCAACCTCCCCCCCAACCCCCCCCCAAATAAGGAATCCCAGAGTTCCAGAAAAAATATGACTAGGTTCTGGCCAGCCTCCCCGCCCCCAAAAAAAAAATAAAATAAAGAAGAGAAGGCAAAGTTCTGCCTTTCTGAGTTCTAAGGCAGGAGAGCCCTACAGAGCCTCACGGCAGCTCACAGGGACTGCACTAGAGAAGCATGATCCTAATTAGTTTTAACAATAAAAACCTGGAGTCAGATATGGAGGGTGAAAGCTGAAGGATCAGAGAAGCAGAGCAGCAGCCACCAGAGACTTTCTCACCTCTACAAAATCTCAGACCAAATTGGTGGGCTCTTGTCCCTACAAATCCTCAGACTGAATTGGCCCAAGATCCTGTCTCTTCCACCCACCTTATTTTCCTGCCTCCATCTCCTGACTGTGCTGGGATTAAAGGCATGAGATCCCAAGTGCTGGGATCAAAAATGTTTCACCACCACCAGCTCCGTTTCTCTTTTAAACTGGTTCGGTCTCATGTAGCCCAAGATGGCTTTGAACTCCTGATCTTCCTGCTTCCTCCTCTCATGTGCTGGGATTAAAGGTGTGTGCCACCACTGCCTGGCCACTGTGGTTAACTAGTAGCTAGCTCTGCCCTCTGATCTCCAGGCAAGCTTTATTTGTCAGAACACAAACAAAATATCATACAACACACTAGGGGGTAGGAATTCTGTGAAGGCAAAAGTACATTATCTCATTGAAGGGATGATTATTTCTTCTTTCTTTTAGCATGAATGAAGGTGGCTCTGTCTTCCTAAGTGGGTGGTCCCTTGGGAAAAAAAAGAAGGAAAAAGAAAGATAAGAAAAGGCTCTGGTTATATTTTCCTGTTGGGTGTTTAAGACCATGTAGCTAGTGCTCTTTTTGGCAGCAGCACATATATAAAACTGGAATGATACAGAGACGATTAGCATGGCCCCTGCACAAGGATGACAGACACACAAATTTATGAAGCGATCTATATTAAAAAAAAAAAAAAAGACCTAGTAGCTAGCCAAAAACTACCTGCCCCCATCACACACCTCTGCCAAGTCCAGTTGAGGATTTGGCCTATGGACATGAGCTCTCAGCTATTGGTCCAGCACCATGCCTGCCTGCCTGCTGCCATGCTCCCTGCCAGGATGGTCATGGATTCCTACCCTCTGAAACTGTAAGCCCTAGATCAGCAGTTCTCAACCTGTGGGTCATGACTCTTTCAGGGGTCGAATGACCCTTTCAACGGGGTCACCTAAGGTCATCTACATACCATATATTCACAATTCATAACAGTAGCAAAATTATAGTTACGAAGTGGTAACGAAAATAATTTTATGGTTGGGCGTCACCAAAGCACAAGCAACTATAATAAATGGTTGCTGCATTAGGAAGGTGGAGAACCACTGCTAATCCATTTCTTCTATAAGTTGTCTTGATCATGGTGTTTTATCATAATATAAAAGCAGCTAAGAGCCGGGCGGTGGTGGCGCACGCCTTTAATCCCAGCACTCGGGAGGCAGAGCCAGGCGGATCTCTGTGAGTTCGAGGCCAGCCTGGGCTACCAAGTGAGTTCCAGGAAAGGTGCAAAGCTACACAGAGAGACCCTGTCTCGAAAAACCAAAAAAAAAAAATAAAAATAAAAATAAAAGCAGCTAAGACAGAAGTGGGCTATTGCTATGGCAGGTATGACCACGCCGTTTTTAGAGAGAATGTGGAAAAGGCTCTGGACTATGAAAGAGGTTCACTGCTATAAGCAGGGCCTAATGGGCCATCTTAGTAGTAGTAGTAAGTAGCGTGGAAAACAATACTGCTAAGAGCAATGTGGACTATAGAGGCCCAGCACAAGAGGCTTCCGAGGGGAACAATATTAGCAAGTAGGCTAGAGAACATTTTTCATGAACATTTTGTGTCTAGTGAAAAGCTGAATGGCCAATAGAGGGATAGGTGAGGCTGGTGGACAGAGAGAATAAGAAGGAGGAGAGAAGAGGAGAAAGGAGAGAATGAGGGAGAAAAAAAGGGAGACGCCCGGGGCCAGCCAGCCAGACACACAGCGAGCAGTGAAAGTAGGATGCACAGAATGAAAGAAAGGTAGAAAGCCCCGAGGCAAAGTGTAGATGAAGGGAAACAGGTTAACTTCAGTTATAAGAGCTGGTGGGACACGCATAGGATGAGACCAAGCGTTCATAACTAATACGTCTCTGTGTCATGATTTAGGAGCTGGTTGGTGGCCCAAGAGAAAGCCTGTTACAGATACTTCATGCAACAAAGAAAAGCTTACGCACTTGTAATTCAAGGAGGGGGCCAGGCTCCATCCCAAGCAGTGTCAGCCAGGTGGCAGTTCTGAAAGATACAGGAGTAAAGGGGTTATGGAATCTTCCTCTGCAGTTGAGAGCCACTGAGGCCAGGCGTGTGGCAGGGGAGTCCCTACACTTAGGCCCTGAGAGGTCATTGTGTGAAGCTATAAAACTGAAACCTGGGTTGTGTTGGAGACCCCAAGATGCTAGAGGTCCCAGAGCTGTGGGACATCTGCCAAGGAGAGCTGCAGACAGGCAGTAGAACCAGCCAGAGAGAGAGAGAGAGAGAGAGAGAGAGAGAGAGAGAGAGACAGAGAGAGAGAGACAGAGAGAGAGAGACAGAGAGACACACAGAGAGACACACA